AATTCTTAGCGTGGTCGGCAATGAATACCGCCACACGCTCTACTAACGAACGAAATGCGTGTGTATTATTACAATCTCTCTCGTCTCTCTCTCTCTCTCTCTCTCTCTCTCTCTCTCTCTCTCTCTCTCTCTCTCTCTCTCTCTCTCTTCTCTCTCTCTCTCTCTCTCTCTCTCTCTCTCTTTCTCTGTCGCTCTGCAGCCATTTCTCGTGCCTGTCATCTAAGTACATGTGTGCGGGAGTTCCAGCCGTCATGAGCACACTGTTAGCCAACATCAACGCCTACTATGCACACACGACCAGCAACACAGCCATCTCTGCCAGCGACCGATTCGCAGCCTCCAACTTTGGCGTAATTATTATTATATTATATAATTTATATAGCTAATTAATTTATATATATTTATATTTATATATTTTATGTTATTAGCCTATTAGCCTATATGTATATGTTATTAGTTATGATAAGGAATGTGTGAGATTGACAGATTCATGTAAGGAAGGATGTGAGAAAAACAGAGGCCTGGAATGTCTGTACGAGGCACGTACAGATCCACGGTCACTGCTACCCCATGTGTGTAGCAAAGGCCTGCGCCGTCGCTACGGGGCGTGGATCCACTGCTGCTATCCTGTGTGTGTTCGAATAGGTTATAATTTGATGCCATTGAGCTATAAAATTAACGGTCTGAATATATAGGCCTACTATAAGATGCTAGGGCCTATTGAGAATTGTTTTGCTTCGTATAACCATCCCACCACTTATACGTCTTATGGCAACGCATAACACTTGCAGCATGGTTTCCTTATCTAGTTAGAAGGTTACGTCGGAGGAAATGCTGACACGAGTGCCTCGCACGTATTTAATTATTTTCATTTTATTTTACCGCCACACTTCCTACGCCATCGATTTAATTTCCGACTTTTTCTTTTTTTGCAGAAAGAGAAATTTGTGAAGCTACTCGACCAGGTGCACAACTCAGTGAGGATAGATCTCTCCATGTACAGGGTGAGAGCAATTAGCATACCCGTAATTAGTCATCTCGTTAATTAATTAGTCTCGGTAATTAATGATCTCATTAATCGGTCATCTCGTTAATCAGTCATCTTATAATTATTAATATGATTAATATGTCAACGGGGTATGATCGCTGTTTTGCAGAATAATTTTCCGGCTTCCAACCCTGAGAAACTGCAGGACTTGAAGTCAACTGTTGACCTCCTCACTAGCATCACGTTCTTCAGGATGAAGGTGAGACAGGGGAAGGAAGGGAGGGAGAGCGAGCTGCAGTGCAGTTGCGAGATTCTGAAGGGATACGAAATCAATAATGCCATTATCTTGCGTTATTACTGGTGTTTCATTACATTTTTTAATTTTATTCAATCAATTCAATGTTTCATTAAATATTGCGGCTATAAAAAGTCGGCAATAGGTAGGTATATTATATGCGTGCACAGCATACGTGTGTGTGTACACACACATACTGCAGTCAAACGTGTGTCACACATAGGGGCCACTCAAGAGCCAGCAACCATCGCGACGCAAATCACTCAAAAGTCCTTTCTAGACAGGTGTCCCCAGAGTATTCTGCAAATGTAGAACGAAGCATCTATAGATTCTGTAACACCCCTGGCCATCTTTTTCTCGCGCGCGCTGCCGTGACAGTGTCTGTGTGCGCGCTGTGTGTGCCACAACAAGTAGGCCTACTGCTACAGTGCAGTACATGCTGTGTGTCCTCCTCCCGCTGTTGTGTAGGTACAAGAGTTGTCGAGTCCGCCGCGCGCTAGTCAGGTGGTGAAGGATTGCGTGAAGGCCTGCATGAAGTCAACGTACCAGTTCCTCTACGAGAACTGTGACGAGCTCTACCAGCGAGAGTTCCAGACAGAGATGACCGACCAGCAGCACCAGCAGCAGGTAGAAACCAGTGTGTGTGTGTGAGCGTGTGTGTGTGCTTGCGTGTGCGTGTGCGTGTGTGTGTGTGTGTGTGTGTGTGTGTGTGTGTGTGTGTGTGTGTGTTTGTGTGTGTTTGTGTGTGTTGTTGTGTTGTGTGTGCTGAAGGTGTGAGTAGTGTGCCCTGTGTGTGTTGTGTGTGTCGTGTGTGTGCGTTGTGTGCCGTGCGTCGTGCGTGCGTGATGCTGTGTGTGTGTGTGTCGTGTGCGCGCCATGTGTGTGTCTGCGTGTGTGGCGCGTGCGCGTGTGCGCTTGGATGCGTGTGCGTGCGTGTGTGTGTGCGCGTGTGTGCGTACGTGCGTACGTGCGTGCGTGCGCGTGAGTGTGTGTGTGACGTCAGCGTCGACGACGTTGTTATTGTGTGACATTTTCTTCGTTTTTAATATCTTTTTTTTGTCACTGTTGTTGATGTTGTTGCTGCTGTTGTTGCTGCTGTTGTTCTCATTGTCATTACCGTTGTCATTGCTGCTGTTGTTGTTGTTAGTGTTATTGTTATTTTTTACAAAAATGCCTTTATGGTTGACTCTGCAGAAAGAGGCAAATCAAGGGCAGGAGACGCAGGACGGTGGACCGAGCATCAAGAGCCTTGACTTCTGGCCAAAACTCATCTCACTCATCATATCAGTTATAGAAGAGGACAAGAATAGCTACACACCTGTTCTCAATCAGTAAGTCTCCCATGCTCGCTCACCTGTGCTGTGATGTGGATGCTGTGTGATGCATGGACAGATATCATCTTGATTTAGTATACCAGGTGTAAACATAGCTGGTCACCTAAACGTAATCTTGTTGCTAATCTTTAATTGATCTCTTCTTCTAAGTCATTTTTTAAATTGTAGCACTAAACCTAATTTCACCATTACCCAATAATCCTAACCACGACCATACCCATGGCCCTTGGCCTGGATCTGTGCCCAGAGTCTTGCTTCAACATATATCATGCTCTGTCTATGAGTGATTAACATTCATCTGTCTATGTAATCTCGTGGCGCATCTAACTCAACTTTTACAGACTTTTTGTATGTGTGACAGTTGCTGGGTTTTGAATCGGTTTAGACAGATTTTGCTAATAATATATATTTAATTTCGACTTATTGCAGATTTCCTCAGGAATTGCATGTGGGACAAGTCAGTGCAGAACAGATGTGGACCTTGTTTTCTGTGGATATGAAATATGCATTGGAAGGTGAGGCTTAAGAGCAATGTAATTAGCGGAGGGCAAGGGGAACAGTTGCCCCCATCCCCCAGAGATGTAGATACATTGCATACCTGCTAACTTGTGTGTGTGCATGCGTGCGTGAGCACGTCTGTGTGTGTGCGTGCGTGCGTGAGTGTGCTTGCGTGCGTGCGTGCTTGTGCTTGCGTGCGTGCGTACGTGTGAGTATCCATAGCTTGTTTAGGCTTGTGAATAATGGATATTTCTTACTGAAAGTAGCTGTAGGCGTATCTGATGTGAAGCCTCAACTAATCCATCCATCTCATCATGTATATCTATCTACGTTTACTTTCAGAGCACGAGCAGCATAAACTGTGCAAGAGTATAGACTACATGAATTTGCTGTTTAAAGTAAAGTGGCTGTACAATAAGTATGTTACTGATGTGCCTCCGTACAAGGGAACCATCCCCGAGTATCCCGCGTAAGTGTGCCAGTCCATAACCCACACGCCCAATCGTCTTCATCATAATTACTATTATTATCATTGTTAATCATTTTTATTTTTATTTTTTTCTTGGTAATTTTGATGAGGTAAGCTCAGCAGCATTAGTAAAACATTGTTGATGTGCGCGTTGATTATGCATGAGTTCTGGTTAGCGGATGTTCGGCGTGAACGACGCATGGAACCACGTCTCTCATTATGGCACGTTGTTCCTTGCTGTAGGTGGTTCGAGCCGTTCGTACTGCAGTGGTTGGGAGAGAACGACGATGTCTCACTCGAGTACCTTCACAGTGCCTATGACAGAGATAAGAAAGACGGGGTAAGTGTTGAGTGTATAGTGTCCGTGACGGAGATAAAAAAAAGACCGGGTGAGTTTTGAATATATCTCATCAGTTATGGTCTTCCATGTTGTATCCTTTTGTGATCTTCCGTCGTGCGTGAGCTATGTATGCTTTTCTCACCTGTGTTGTTGTTGTTGTTTGTTTCTCTCACATAGTTCCAGCAGACGGCCGAACACTCGCTCTTCTCAGCCTCCGTTGTCGACGTGTTCACGCAGCTCAACCAGTGCTTCGACGTCATCAAGAAACTCGAGTGCCCCGATCCAAACATCCTCAACTGCTACATGCGACGCTTCGCGAAGGTAGGCGGCCGGAGGCGACGACGGGGTGGGGGATGGATGACAGGGGGAGATGAAGAGAAGGGATGAGAGGGGCGACGAGGGAACGATGAAGGGTCGACGTGGGGAAGACAAAGGGAAGTGATGAGGGGGACGACGAGGGGGAGGGATGGAGGGACGATCGGGGGCGACGAGGGGGAGGGATGGAGGGACGATCGGGGGCGACGAGGGGGAGGGATGGAGGGACAATGGGGGGGGGGGACAACGGAGGGACGGGGGAGGTGAAGGAAAGTTTACTGCTGTTACTGAAAACCAAAATGGCAAATTGCAGCTAGAACACAACATTTTTTATTTGTTGCATTGCAGACAATAAACAAGGTACTGTTGGCCTATGCAGACTTGGTTAGGAGGGACTTCCCCCGGCTGACCGTTAGAGAGAAAACAGTAAGTATATCCCATCATGTCTTTTCATCTTGAGTGTATTCCTTGTCTTATTATGTTAACATCAAATCATACGTGGATCTATCATCGACGTAATCATTGGGTATGGCATTCAGTCTAGATTTAAATTACAACAACGAATTCCCTGTCGGTTTATACAATATTCCTACTCGTTTGGAAAGGAAATATGTGGTTACTGTAACTATGGAAATATATAATAAATGTTAGTAATAAATAGGAGTGAATAAATGTGCAATATGATCAAAATAATTAATGAATAAATAATAAGTATAATAAAGTAATGTAATGTCATAAATAATTATGGGATAAAACATTTCGTTTCTCAAATCAAAAATTAATGTACCTCAAAGGTCTTTCAGAATTTTGAATTATTTTTGTTCAAATAACCGTCCCTAATGGTAACCACGGTAACTGCGATGCTGCTGTGTTGCAGGCTTGTATCCTCATGAATAACATACAGCAACTACGAGTACAGCTTGAAAAGGTCTTCGAATCTATGGGAGGAAATGATGTAAGTCGCAGCGCCTATGTTAAGCATTCTATATCAATGTTTGGTATAGAAGGTCACGGTCACATGTCAGCGGTTACCTCTATAGAACGTGCACCTGTCTATGGAGGACACTTATGCATAGTGTCTCCCCGAGTGGCAGGTGCACAGTGGTGCCACTTCTACAGAACGAACACGTCTTTATAAATGACACTTTTTGGGTTTTTCTTAGTATAGAAATATGGAATGGGTGACGCTTAATGTTGGTATATAAAACGTCTTCTATAGCCAACGTCTATATATTGAATGTACGCGACCTGACGGGTGTGTTGAGCATTAATTCTTCTTCTGTGGAATCGCAGCTGGATCCAGAAGCTGCCAACATCTTGAAGGAGCTGCAGTCGAAACTGAGCGGCGTTCTCGACGAATTAGCGTCAATGTTTGCCAACAGGTATGTTGACAGTTGTCGCCATCTCTCGCCACTTAACTTTTGTCATTGCCGTGCCTCAGTTAACAGTTACTGTTTTGTGGGGTAGGCCTACTGTTATTTCGGTAAGTGTGATTGGACCATTTCAATTATCCGGGAACCTATAAATACCAAGAAAACCAAGATAAATATTTTGTGATTCGGGAATAGAAGTCACTGGGGACGAAGATAAACCAGTATTTGCGATTTTAATCAACCGGGAACCTGGGAAATCGATATCTTATTTACCTTAGAAACTGGGAACGGACCCCTCCCTCCCCCTTTCCCATCTCTCCACTTTTCTTCTCCTTCCCCCTTTCTCCTCCATCCCTTTCCCCTCTCTTTCCCCTTCCCATTTTCCGCTTTCTCTCTCATATCCCCACCTTCAGTCACTACACACTCCCCGTTCTCTTACTTTCCGTCTAACGGCACGTATGTTTATCATCTCTCTCACACTCTTTCCCCCTATCTCTCAGTATTGAGCAGAAGATTCAGGGCAGTGTGCAGGAGCTGGGGGCGCTGCTCGCCAAGGTGAAGGGAGGCGGCAACGTGGCACTGAGCAAGCCCAGCGACCGGCAGAACGTCTCGCACGAGGCGGACATGGTGCTTCGGCCGCTCATGGACCTGCTCGATGGAAAGTAAGCGCCATCTGGCAACGACCGCGCGCAACTTCTCTCATTTATGTTCTCTTCTCGCCGATTTCTCAATAGCTTTACTTCCTTGCCGTCAGTCTTGTTCGTGTCCGAAGTTGTTGTTTTTTGACTCTCCGATTTCTCTCGCGCACGCTCGCTGGCAAATTTTTTTTTCGAGTCGGATATTTTTATTAGACTCTAACATTCTTCTCCTCTTGCGCTTCCCTTTTGCAGTCTTTCCCTCTATGCTCAAATGTGCGAGAAGACGGTGCTGAAGCGGCTGCTGAAGGAGCTGTGGAGGATTGTGATCCATTCGCTGGAGAAGTCGGTGGTGTTACCGCCACTAACCGACCCCGGCAGCGTAAGTACAGATCCCACGCGCGTCGCATCGACACATACAACTACTCGCTACGATAGTTACGATATTATAGTCTGATAATTTAATTGACTGACCATTGATGGGGTCCGTAGTCGTTGGAAGCGCCAAAAATAGTCGAAGAGTGTAGAGTGTGAAGGGTTTTGTGATGCGTTAAGTACACTCGTGTGCAAAGGTTATGACGTCCTGGACTCGTGATGTCATAGCTACTGCACTGATGTTTCTGGATACGGTCCCCTGTTGTACCTCGTTAATATATTATATGTAATAAATTATAACTAAATATATATATATATATATACTTATATATAATTATATACTAATTATATACTGATATATAATATACTTATATAAATTATTGTACTATTAACCATGTACGGGGTAGTTAATTCGTAACCTGTGAATATGTCCGATGTAAGACAAGCGCTTGCATCAGTGAGCTAGGTTTCTTCTGGTAGCGGGTTCTCTACTAACATCTCTACTCTTCCCATGTTATAAAACCTCTTAATGCACGACTGTGATTAATGGTTTCATGTAAGGCGTCAATCTCTGCTACTAACCAGTGGTTTTTCTTACACCGCTTAGAAGTTCGCGTAATGGTGATGGCTAATCTGTTATGTTGGTTTTTCATGACTGTCATCTTCCATCTTTACGCCGCCTCTGCTTTTTCCTCCGATGTGGTGTACTCATTTTCCGCACTTTAACTCTTCTCTTCTCGTCTATTTTTTTATTTTTCCTCCCTTCCTCTCTCTCTCTCTCTCTCTCTCTCTCTATCTCTCTCTCGTC